AGGCTTCTCATTTGTTAGAGAGCTTCTGCATAGGTATGTTAATTCAGAACACTGTGCTTGAAAAGGGAGGTAAGTGCTTCAAAAGGATTTTTTTTTTTAATATGCTTTTGAGGTGGAGAGAAAAGGATACAAAATAGTGCCACTATTTGCAGATCAAACTAGTACCATCCCCCAGAATGCCTTGATATGAAGAAGATATTCTGTCTTCTTGAAGGAGTCCCTTCTCCATGTCAAACCCTGCATTATCTGTTGGTGGTGCTCTTTGAGTATGTTTCTTGTACACTCTGTTTTGTCCAAAACAGAACAAAATTCACACCTGCCTTTAAAAATCCGGTTTGGGAAGCATTACTGGGCTTTTGCATGTTTCTTAAACACATGTTCTCTGGGCCTGTTCAAGTTACCTGCTTAAGCACCTCTGAGGAAAAAGAGGTTTGTTCTAAATGAAATATTTTTCATTTCTGAGGGGAATGTACCTCAAATGTATTTTATTAATTTTTAAAGAGACTATAGAGAGTCTAAAATCATTAATTAAAGGTTTTGCTTTTGAAAAGGATCTCTCCTATGTAAGCATTTTCACACATGAATAGTCTAGAAAGTCTTGTTGTCCCCAAGACATCAGATTAATTTGAAGAATTGAGGGTTTTAACAGATATGAGGTGGTTGATGCTATTGTTCAAAAAGATACTTTCTGTGTAAAAATAGCATCAGAAAATTGTATGCTGCCTTACAAAAGAGCAAAGTTCACTTAGCAATGGAAGTTGCCTCATAAACATAATGTAGTGTATCTTGGCTGGGTGATCAGATTTTCCTGGAAAATGCAGTAAGTGTCAGTGGATCAGCTTACCAAATGTGGTCGTTTCTTTGGCCCCCTCAGAGCGTGCTTGTGCTTAGGAATGGAGAGGACCTGCCTCCCAGCTGAGATGTAGTGCTGGCTGCTCAGCTGGCTGGTTGACTAGGAGATGGTTCTGGCTGGTGGCCATGGCTGGCTGCCAGGCAGCCTGTCCCTCTGCTCCTAAGCAGGCCATGCAGCACCTTTCCTCCCCAACCAGGTGGTCTGCAAGCATGGGAGTTTTTCCCGCTTAGGGGATCCAGTCAGCAGCAAAGAGGAGCTCATGGCTGGAAAGGATCGTCTAACAGTGAAGACTAATGGTAGAGGACAATAGGGAGGAAAAGAAAAAAAACCCTACAAAGCCTTGTGCTGAGCTGGAATCCTTAACTAGGCTTCACTTGTGTAGAGGCCTTCTTTTCAGCCTACTGCTACTACAGCATCCAAATTCTCCAGGTGTGACCAATAATTTGTTCAGAAAATTCAACAGCTGGTTTATTTGAGGGAGCTGCACTTCTTATTTTAAAGACCTGAGCCCAAGTCTATAGATACAGGCCAATTACCTGATTTTGTTCATTTATGGAGTCTATCACTTGTGTTCATAGTTTCACAGAATGGTTTAGGCTTGAAGGGACCTTTAAAGATCATCTAATTCCAACCCCCCTACATGGAGGGACACCTCTCACTAGGGCAAGTCGCTCAAAGCCCCATCCAACCTGGCCTTGAACACTTCGAAGGAGGCAGCATCCACAGCCTCACTGGGCAACCTCTGCCAGTGCCTCACCACCCTCACACTGAAGAATTTCTTCCTGATAGCTGATCTAAATCTTCCCTCTTCCAGTTCAAAGCCATTACCCCTCACCCTATCGCTACACCCTTATGAGTGTAGGCCCTCTTCAAGTACTGGAAGGCTGCTATAAGAACTACTCAGATGGAGCCTTCTCTTTTCCACTTTGCTGTTTGGATGATTCTGAGTTGATAAATTTCTCTTTTTGGGCACAGGTCGATGAACTTTGACTTGTTTCCATTTTTCTCCCTTCACTGTGCAGAGATTGCTGACATCAAATGGATGTGTTTCATTGAACGTGAACGAAGTGGACTTGCCAAAGCCCAAAACCCCTGCCCACCCTGCAAAGCCCCAGTCCCAAACCATCAAATTTCTTCACGAGAAGAGACCACAACATTTTGAGCAGTGCACACAGTGCTCTAGATATGCAGGAAGAGAAAGATTATGCCCAATACCTCATAGTTTTGTGAAAGTCAAAGTTAGCAAAGGGAAATGGAGCATTTGGAATTGCTAGGATTCCATTGGGTGTTTATACTGGCTTCTGTAAATAATGTGTCAGTGTTTCT